AAAAAATAGCTGGGCATGGTGGCACACACCTATAATCCCAGCTACTCGGTAGGCTGAGACCTGAGAGTCACTTGAACCCGGGAGGCAGAGGTTGCAGTAAACCAAAATTGCACCATTGTACTCCAGACCATGATGGCAAACCATGATGACAGTCTTTTTAAACTCCCATTACAATCTTTCTATTGGGATGCAATTTATAGATTCAGGGATGAGACCCAAGGAGAGCCAGGAGAGATTTGCCCTCATGGTTGCAAGGCAGCTGCTGGTGGCTGACCCTGAAAACTATATACCTGCCCAGAAGGGAGGCGAAAGACGCATCGAGCATGAAGGGTGGAGCCACGATGCTTGGACTCAGGTTCTGCTCCTGTGCGTTCCCTGATAAATGACTTACACTACCTGTGCTTCAGTTTTCCCTGGGCAAAAAAGGAAGTTTATTGCCGGTGGGTGGGCACCTGCCTTAACCTGCCAACGCCTCCGGGGGCTGAAGTGGAAGCAGTTCTTACTAGAAAGACATGTGGACACGTATGTTTATTGCAGCAGTACTGACAAGACTTGGAACCAACTTTCTCTGCAGGAGCATGGATGAAGCTGGAAGCAGTCATTCTCTGGAAGCAGCAAACTGACACAGGACCAGAAGACCAAACTCCGCATGTTCTCACTTATAAGTGGAAATGAGAACACATGGACACAGGGGAGGGGAACATCACACACTGGGGCCTGAAGGGGGTTGGGGGCGGAGGGGAGAGAGAGCAAATACGTAATACGTAATGCATGCAGGGCTTAAAGTCTAGATGACTGGTTGAGAGGTGCTGCCCACCACCATGGCACATGTATACCTATGTATTCCAGAACTTACAAATAAAAAAGAAAAAAAGGAAGTCTCAAGTTTAGGCTGGGCAATGCTGGTGGACCCCATCCATTCCCTTTAAGAGGTCTACTGCCAAGATGAGATCTGAGGACCTTCAAGAAACAATTGAATAGGCTCTCTGTACACACAGCCACAAAACGAGTATACCTTTTCCAAAGCGCTGGTGTCAGAGCAGAAGCAAAAGCTAAGGATTCCATCATCTGCTAATCAAAACACCTAAGGATGCTTAAGTGGAAAAGTTATGAACATCTGATGACTTGATGCAATAGAAAAAACCAAGCCAAACTGGCACAGGCGCAAGCACAACTTCCCGTCTGACTTTGCAAACATGTTATGTCCCCCGAGGGGGGTGCACCGTTCCTGGAAGTACTGCAATACCAGGTCGATGCGTGGAGTGGACGGAGCAAGCTCCTATTCCATCTCCCTACTCCAAAAATCCATTTAATATATTGTCCTCGGATAGAGGACGTATCAGATATTAAACTGATAAGAACAGATACTACACTTGATCTTAGCCAAAAGGCCGAGAAGCGATGCTGCCGTCTCCGTCCCCGCCGTCACCGTCCCACCCTCATCCACATTCAAGTCGCGGTGAGAGCCCCAGCCTCGCTCCTTGCCTCATTCCCTTTGTCTCGTCCACACCACTATTCACGCCATCACACACTCGGGCTGATTTATTTTTCTCCACGTTTGGCAGAAGAAATCTTACACCCCTGCTTGCTCCGGCGTTCCCAGCCTTTTATTTCGAATATGCACGCCCCGCCCTCTCACAGGGGGCGTGGCCTCCGCGGTGGAGTCCCTTGTTTGTGTCAACGCAGCCAAAAGACAGAACCGAGAGCCTGGGCGCGAAGGCAAGATGGGTCTGTGGAAGTGACCTGTCGGCGGAGAGCTGTCCACGTTTTCCTGCAGAACGACGAGGTCCCAGGGCACCATCACTAGAGGAGCCCAGGCTGCGCTGGGTTTTTCGTTCGTCACCATCGGGCGGGGAGACCAGCCTCTTACCTGCTGGACGAGGGGCTCTTTCCCAGTCAGGGCAGCGGAAGGCCTGGAGGGGCTTCCCGGAGCAGGGACTGGAGTTCCTCTGCCAGGCAGGAGGCTGACACCAGACACCCGGCGGAGAGAGGCGGCGAGGGCCCGACAAGGGTTCTCCCCAGGGCCTGGGTCTCCCATGACATGTGTGCACGGACCGTGTCCTGTGCCGTGTAGGGGGGAAAGCTTCCTCTCTGCTTGGGACGCGGATTCCTCTCACCTCCTCCTCCTCCTCGCCTGGCTATTCCTGACGCAGGTTATCGGGACTCCGCTTGGGTGTCAGCCGTCCGGGAAGCCTCCCTTAATTAACGGCCCTCCGCACCCGCCCCATAGGTGACTGGCAGCCCTCCTACGTATTTCATCGCACCCCGTTATTTCTGTCAACTACTCCACTCACCACCCTTCTGGGCAGTCCTTTCCCTCCCCTCTGAAATCCCATCACGGAGGGCTGAGACCCTCATCAACACTTATCCCCGTTTCTCCTGCTAGTCTGGCGCCTGGCGTGGAAGGCGCTCGGTAAGCGTCTGTGGAGCGAAGAAACCACGCAAACGTGGTGAGCAGGACAGACCGAATCAGAGAAGAGGCAGTTAGGAGGCGATTGGCCCCGCGCAGGGCAAAGGGGGACGGTCGGGCTCGGGGTGGCAGGACACCAGAGGTCGGGGGTGACTGCCGGGTGCTCTTGGGGGAAGATGGGCGTCAAGGACCCCAGGAAGGCTGGGATGAAATTTCTCTCTGAGGCACAGACTGCCGCCTGCGCGGTCAGCATTTGCCTTTCCCGTCCTCCTTCCCAACACAACTTCACCGGAGGGCTGAGGGTTCTCCGTGCATTGGCGCATTTATTTCACTCGAGAGGAGCCCTGAGAGGTGAGCCTTATGATTAGCCACGGCCAGGATTAGGGTGAGGCCAGTCCTCCAGGGCAGAATTTCAGGGGGTGCTGCCCTCCTCCGCCCTAAACACTTCAGCAATCAACATACATCATAGTTCAACACAGTATCTTATCTCGATTATAAGATAATCAAGATATTTATCTGGACTACTGAGTCTTTCAGTCCCCCGTTACTTTAAAAAAAATTTTTTTTTTCTTTTTTCTTTTTTTTTTTTCGTCCCCCTGCGGCTGTTTTTTTCTCATTTCATGCCACCCCAGTCTCTGCCCTGTCTTGTCATCCCCATTCCATTGCTCACACAGGGCAGCATGGCAGCCGTTAGCCACAGGTGTGTATGGAACACTGGAAATGTGGTCAGTTCTAGCGGAGCCGTGCTGTGCGTGTAAAGTACCCACGGGATTTTATAGGCA